TCTACTGGACGGCCTTTAACAATCTTGTGTTATATGAAAAACGAAAATCTTGTGTGGGAATAGGTGAGAGATGTGAAGATTTGCAGATGGTGAAATGTTGCTTACGAAGGTCTCTTCATTCTTTTGTTGGCCACATCACTTTTTCACAGTGGAATTTTTTTTATTCCTTAGCTTGATATTTTACTCTGTTTGACTTTGCTTATCTACGATTTCATTTATTGGATAGTACCAGTTCATGAATCATTATCCAAGTTTGTTATACATGCATGGGCTCCTCATTGTACTTGTAATGCATGTGTGTTGTGGGCACAGCACCAACTGGGCCATGTCTGTTTTGGAGTTAAAAAAACAAGAAAAACATACTTTCAGTGATGTGCTAATTGGTACTGCATCACTAGTAATGATTGTGTTGTTATTGGTTAGAAAACTTAGTTCACATATTGCCCTCATCACTGACATTGCTCAATTCAAGGCTGCTGTTGAAGACCATCTTTCAAATCACAAAATATAACCTGACCCATCAGTTTTTTCTGTTTGCCCACCCCTCATGTAATGTCCCATGTGGGGCCCTTGAGGTATTATGAATAAATAAACAATCATCATCATCCACCCAGCCTATGTCCACTGCAGAATGAAGGCTTCTCTAAATAATCTCCAATTCAGCTTGTCTTGAACAAGTTGACTCCATTTTATTCCTGTGAACTTGAATTATTCTGTGTGGTTTTCATGATTTTCTTAAAGCTCTAACTTTGATCAGATCGACTGTTGTTCCTTTTACTCGGGCATCCTAACTGCAGGTCCTGTGATGTGTGTGACCCCATGATTGATATGTGGGGTTTAACGTCCCAAAACCACCATATGATTATGAGAGACGCCGTAGTGGAGGGCTCCGGAAATTTCGACCACCTGGGATTCTTTAACGTGCACCCAAATCTGAGCACACGGGCCTACAACATTTCCGCCTCCATCGGAAATGCAGCCGCCGCAGCCGGGATTCGAACCTGTGCCCTGCGGGTCAGCAGCCGAGTACCTTAGCCACTAGACCACCGCGGCGGGGCGATGTGTGTGACCCCAGTAAAATCATTGATAGTTACACATGGAACTTTTATGTCCTGTTTGGCTTTGATTTCACATAAGGTTAGATCATTGTATGACATTTTGCCACTAGTGAAATCAACTGAAGAAAAGCGTGAACAGGACAAAATGAGCACGACCAGCTGATTTTCAATTGTCGAATCAGTTGGAAGCGCTTCCCATGTCATCATGTTTGTGCTATATTGCGTGTGTTGTTTTCACGAGTGGCAAAATGTTGTGCAGTAAACAATATTAACTAAGTCGAGAAATTCTGCTCAAGTAATTAAGGTTAGATAATTTATCTGATAGCTGTGCAGTAGAGAATAGCATTCGACTGCGTTATTCACTATGTCATTGAGAGAGAGAGCAAAGGGCAAAGGAAAGGCAGGGAGGTTAAACAGGTTGTAGCTGGTTTGCTACCCTACACGAGAGGGGAGGGAGAGTAAAAGAATAGAGAAAGCAAGGAGGAAAGAGAGAACCAGCGATACGCACATGCACATGCCAGAATTCACCGCACACATATAGACTATGTCACTGAAATTGCTGTCACAATAACCTGCTTATCATTTACTGCATGCATCTTGGTTTTTCCTATGCAGCATTTATTTTTAGCTGATTTGATGCTTCTGAAATTTCTTACTACTGCTTCTCTCTTTAGCACTCAGATCCTGTATGTCTCCGAGTTTCTGTTTCTTGATCAGCTTTGATCACTCAGCAAATTCTGTTTTATCTCTCCTTGCCAATAGTCACTTTCGTCTGTTGTCTTTTTGTTATGTCTTCTATGCTGTGAAAGAGCCTGTTTTTTGTTTTACTACTTAACTTCCAACTTTACTTTGCTTCAGAAATTGATCTAGCTGTGATTTCGTTCATTCCCGCCGTGTTGTTTTAACATGATAGCGTTAAAGAGCTCATTTATCAAGAATTCCGGCTTTGCATCATTGGTAGTTAGCGAAAAATCATCTTGTCCGTGACCAAAAAAAAAATCGAGAAAGATGCAAATAAAATAAATAACAAGCATTTCCTGGTCTGAGTGAAAATCGAACTCCGGCTGTCTGCGTGGCAAGCAGGTGTTCTACCACACAGCCACGTGTCTGCTTGGAAATGCTGTGAAAATAACTATTATGCTTGGCAAACACACGTATTCTGTATACAGGCTTCACTACACTATATGTAATATTGCAGTAATAGTGCGTCGTACAAGCGTACATTGCAATTGGGCATCAGAACATGTGATTATCATAATGACTTCGTGGTTTAAAGCTGGCGACCCATTACGAAAGGCACACAAGTTTCTACGTGTATTCAATTCAGACCACAATAGCAAGTTCAGGAAACATTTTGTGCGAAGTTATGCACTTGGTTTACGGCATGCCATCACACAGAATGCAGCTATATATGAAAGCTCTACTGACACAATCCACTTTCACCTTGATCGATTACATTGTAGTAATCCACAACTTAAACTTCTCAAGTTAAATCTACAGTAAAAAGTTTGCAACTTTTTACTAAGTGGTTGAAGTATACGCTAGGGACAGGATATCACTAGTGCATTCAACGCTTAGAGGCGAAGCTTAAAATTCTTCCAATTTTCATTTGTTTCTTCTTGTTTTAAAGGGGCCCTGCAGCACTTTTTGAACATCGTCAGAGAACGGTGCTGATAGGTAGTAGAGGCTCCCGACAACATGCGAACCAAATATTATATTGCAGCATGCGGCCTGCAATGAACAATAAATAATCAAAGTCAGCTGAAACTTGCTTTCTCTTCTCTCGAAAAATCATGGAAGACGCTCAAAAATTACTTGTAAAAAGCCCAATCTATCAGCTATTGGCTGATTTGAACATGGCGTGCTCGGTCGTTACAGAGATCACTGCAGGATTCCGCGGCTTGTCCATGCGTGCGCTCGCAATCACACTGACAAAGCTGCGCATTCAAAAAAATATATATATACATATAATAGTGCTCAGTTTCTTGAGGCATGCGTTATGCATTTTTTTGCCCCTGTCATCCCTCTCTGCTTAGCTTCCAGTGCTTTCGTCGGGACAAGAGAAGATAGAATGCGTTTACAGCATGCGACAAATCTTTATAGCTCCGCTCGTACTGGATGAATTCTTAAAATTTTTGATGCGTATAATTCGTGAGGCAATAAGCTCTTCTAATAAGTTCAATCTATGGTTACTCAGGGCTCCTTTAAGGCATCGCATTTGCCATGACTTTGACTTGGTGGGCAACAAGATAGCAGTGATTATGCATTTCTTTTGTTTTTCTCTGGAATAAATAAGATGAGGGTTATTTTATGCCTACAGAATAGGTTTTGACTAATGACCATGTTGTATAAGAAGTAGTTCTGGGTAGAGAACAGCAATTGTCTGTGAATTTTCGGCGAGTAGATAAGGTACTGCACCTCATTGATATGCATTGCACACATGCTTTAAAAAATGTTATATTAAACATTATGAACAGCATCACCCACTACTACAAACACTTTTACCTTGTGTTGTATTGTATTCTTTTTATTTATGTGAATATTGTCTACATACTTCCCCAAGCTTGTCCTTATTGGAGCTTGTGTATTGTATGTACAGGAGCTTCTTGAATGTTGTATGGGATAATAAGGGCGCTTGCCTGACCTGATGCAGGCATATGCATTGAAGAAAGCTATTTTTCCTATTTTTGCTAGCTAAATAAAAGTTTGTATTACTGCCTTATCTGTCTTTGGCATTTGCATAAATATATAATTGCTGGCATACAAAACAATTTGGATTAAAAAAAAGTATGTTGTTGCAAGCCTCCATGTTTTCAGTGTTTTTCAAATCATCATACTTTTTTTTTGACCAGCAGCTTTCATCACATTGTTGTTGTTTTGCAGTGTTATTACCTATTATCTGCACTATTTATTCCCTTCATGCCCTGTGGGAAATCATATTTTGACAAACAGTATTTTCGTTGTTTCAATGCAATATGCAGAAAGATATATTGCGTCAGTCATGCTACTCATGATGAGAGCATAAATACAGTGAAATATACTGTAGCTGCTAATACTCCTTAAAAATTATGAATAATGATGTACTAATCCATGTTCACATCATTTGAAGATATGTAGAATGCAGGGTAGCAAACAAAGGTGCATTTTTACTCCTTGTTCATTTGGTTTTTGTTATAACTCATGATGAGAGAAAAGTTGGATATACTTTTTTCAGCATTTGGGCATTGGCTTTCTTTGTGAACAAGCTTCTAGTCGGAAACCTCATGAAACAACTTTGGTATCTCATGTTGATAGGCTACAGTCAGTCATACTTAAGGATGTTCTCTTTAGTACTGTCTCTTACTTTTTGTCATTTGTCCCATAATTGAGCAATTGATGCTGTCCATGTGGCATGACTTCTTGCCCTCTCTAAACTAGGCCACATATTTCCTGTTCTTATTGTGCAAAGCCATTTCTGTTTCCAGTGAAAGAGCATTTTGAGTGTTGATTGTATTCATTGGCATGTTTTGCCTTTCATTTGTGAGACGCACATCTGTGTGATAATGTGAGAGCTGAGTGTAATGCCATGGCAGGACCTACTGGATGTAGCACACCTATGAGCTTAAGTACACTCAGTGCATGAATGTTTGTGCATGTGTGCGAGTGCTTTGTGCATGTGCAAGTTTTATGATAGATGTCTCTTGCAGAAGGAAAAATTGTATAAAGACTGCCATAATTTTAGCATTCACATTTTTTTTTACTACACTTGTGTGAGACAGAGAGGTGACTTCATCGCATGCTGTTCTCATTGTCACCATGCACATTGTCTCAGGTTGTAGAATTCATTGATGTCGCATTTTTCATTGATGATCACGTTGTACATATCCCATATACACTGCTTTTCACAATATAAAGGACTTCAAAAACTACTACTTTATGAATGCTACGCATGCTGTTTTTCAGATTGTCTTCCTCCAAAAGAAAATGAACAAGCTTGATGATTGGAATCCATGTCAGTGTAAGAATGATATTCATTTGTTTATCAAATGATGATGATGGAATAAGGGAGTTGCTTACCTGGTACAACGAACAAATTGAAAGGAGTTTTCGATAGTGTGGCAATGCATAAGGTGAAGAGCAAGAAGTAGGTTGAATGTATTGGAACTATTAGGGTCATGTAAACAACAGATCTATTGCATTGTGACACTGCAACATGTGTATTGAGGAAGAGAAATAAAAGTGCATTGTGGATGTTTGTTCCTGCATTCAGCTTCGGTTGAGTAAAAGAAACTTTCCTAAATTTTGTGTTTGTCTTACTGCAAGAGAACATTGCAGGTTTCAATCCACACGAGACACATTTTTACTATTGTAAATCGACAAATGGCAGCTATGCATGGCCAATAGAGTGTACACCCCATAAAATTTGCAAGCCTTTTGTAATATGTAAATTTCTTTCATTCTAATTTCTAGAGGCCGGATTTATAGACATTAAAAAAGCAGGTTTTACGCACCGAAAATAGGTGGGCGAAACACTGTTTTAGCCTCCTAAAATCGTAAATATAGGCACAATAAACTTTGACAAAATTCAAGTTTTCGAAGAAATACGTGTGAGGTTTGTGCCTACGACAGGAAAGCAAAAACAAAAATGCTTTACTTGGTACAAAGGCGTAATAGTTCAGCATAGCCATGCATTTTTTCCCGCTGGGTCACAATACGGTCTCGCCAGTCCAGCATGCTGAGCTAAGGGTCTACCGTCGAATAAACATGCTTCTGGGTCTCTTTCTTTTTGGCATGGCTGAGAAGGGCTACACAGGTGCAAATAGCCAGAGCGCAATTGGCCAGAAGGATCTTTTTGCAGGCTCAATTTTTCAAGTCTGTGAACGTGCACCTTTAAGGGCCCTTACGCAGGTTTGAGAATATAAAGAAGCGAAGAAGAATGCATGCACTGGGCGCTCACGATCTTATCTGCCAAGATTTGCAGTGCTATGTGCTCCATAAAAAGGTGAAATGTTGGACTGAACACTGCTTGACCATCTCGCGGACGTGCGTCCCAATATGGTGGAGGTGATGGAATGGTGTTGCCTACGTCGTAGTAGTTCGTGACACTGCGAGAACTATTCGAGACGTGTGTAATTTGTGCAACCTGTTGCTTGAATAGAAGTATGAAGGTGGACAGAAATATTAAAACACACAGATAGGATCTATGCGTGTTATTTTTTTTAACTTCGTATCGAGCGAGATACGAGACTAAGGCCCGTATTCACAAACCAACCTCGCCCTTACCTCACGTTTTTCTTAACTTCCTGTACTCTCTACATGCATTATAAAGGCGCGAAAATGGTAACAGGGCGAAAGATAAGGACAAGACTGGTTTATGAATACTGGGCCAATTTGTTTATCATGTGCAATAAAAGTTTAAAACCGATAAGGAAAACTCGAGGAAAGGTTGAGGTCAGTTTGTGAATACGGGCCTAAGGTTCCTCCATTTCGTTTGCGTTGGTGTTCTCGTCGTTCTCGCATCATGCCGGTGCCAGCATTCAGAACGTTTCGCGTGTTTTCGGCGCATCATCCCTTAGAGTAGTTCCAGTGGTGCGACGTTGTGTATTGTAGTAAGGATATGTGATCCATGCCGGCTTCTCCAAACGTGCGCGCATAGAGAACAGAAACAGGCAGTAAAGTACAGAGAGCGTCAAAACGACAGCAACACTTGTGTGCACGGCCTGGCATGGGAATGTCAGCGATTCTACCTTACGCGCGCATGACGAGCTGATGCGGCCGCGTCGTGTGATGCTCCAGCTCCGAGTTGCTCCGATACCAATTAGGGCAGGGAAGCAATTGGGCTTGAGAAGTCTACATCGAGTGAGTGGTGAAGGTGTCAAGCTCACTTCCTCACATTATGCTTTTGCAGCTTGTGATGAACCAATTTAAAAATTTTACTTATACAAATAATTTAATTGGGTATGCAAAGTAAAATTTCTCATGTGACCTAGTGAAGCGTCATTTATCAAGTAAATGACAAAACAAAAAACACGTAGATACCTCTTTTTTATTTTACTTTTTCTTGATGACACTCCGTGGTTTCACATTTGTTCTTCATCGTCCTGCCGCTGCATGGAAGCACCTCCTTCTCCCTCTGCAAGTGAGCAGACGCCGGAGAGATGCCGAGCAGACGACGTTACGTGGATGAATACGTCTAGAGGCTAATTGACCTTTCTGTTGGGCTAAAAGGCGTTGTAGCCTTGAAAGTGCTGAAAGTAACTTGTGAGATAGAGTATAGGTTGCATCTCATAGTGTTCCAAAAGGTCAATTTTGCTGAGTAACATGAATACCGGACTCCAGCAGTACTTGAAAGCAAAATTTGAGGTTAAACAGTGTTTATATAAACACCGATTTAGAAAACATTCATTTATAAGAATTGAACACCAACGTCCAAAATGGGCATTTATAGGCACTATAAAAACACTATAAAAGCTCTTACTCTCTAATTTGTGCTACTCTCTAATTGTGACTCGATAGGAACGCAAGAAACAAAATAGGCATTTGCCTATAATGCGGTCTCTACTAATTTCACTTTGTGAGCGCAGAAAAATCGGTTCTTGGGTAGACCAGGACTTTTTTTTTCTTGCCACAGAAAGGATTGTTGCTAAATTTGTGGGTATAAAATTATTAATGATAGAAGAATCGGTCTTTTGAACAGTAATAATTTCAGACAAAATCATGACTCATTTCAAATACTGTCAAAGCAAAAAATTCAACAAAAAGTGCCAATGCTCTTTGTACGTGGTAAACTTTACAAAAATCTGAATATACACTTTGAACACACTCGTTATAGAACAATACTGCAAATGTAAGCTCTGTATGTAGAAGATTTATTTTTACATATATACAAAAATACCAGTACTAGTGCCTATCATGCCGCTACGCGAAGCTGTTTCTCGGCGCGGTGAAAGAAAGGCTGGCTCACTGTGCATTGGCATTTCAAAAATGTGCATCTTTATAGATGCACACGTCTTTATAGATGCGAAACAGCTTTTTGACTAGCCTGTGTAACGCTGCTCGTCCGTGTCTCCGTGCCAACGCGCCGCACCGCGCTCCTCTCGCCGCAGGTGTTGGGGCGGTGCCAAGTAGGTCACGCCTTTCCTCGCAGTGCGCGGTGACGCCATCTCTCTCTCGCAACGTTTGAGCGCACATCAAGTGAACACTCTTTCGGCTCGTTTATTTGCGATGGAGGAGATGCCAGAAAGCGAAGCTCCTTCGCCTGCCGAAACATTCGCTGAAGTGATTTAGCCTAATCTGGTCGTGGCCGACGTTGCGAACGTTAGCAGAGCCGATCGCATTCGCGAATGGCGACGTCCCGCTTGCAACACCGACGAGGCTCGAGCCAGGGAAGCCGAACGCAAGCGTCGGCAGTGAAAGACCAACGACACCGACGAGGTGCGAGTCAAGCTCGCCGATCGCGTTCGAAAATGGAGACGGCGCGTGGATAGCGCTGACCAGACGTGAGCCATTCAGCCGAGCACAAGCGTCTTCAACGCGTCGGCACCACCAACAAGACGCGAGCCAAGGAAGTTGAGCGGAAGCGCTGACAGCGGAAGGCTTACGCCGGCGAATTCTCGACGCCGACGTCGTCATCAACGTCGTCGGCAACGTCTCGAAAGCGCCGCGCGCACTATGTCGAATCTCCGTGCGCAACGCTGCTGCTTCGCATTCGGGCCAGTGGTGAGAAACCTGCGCCAATTGCGCCAATGCGCCATACTGCTCCAAAAGGGTCTTTTCTGTCTAATTTGCGCTGTTGCAGTGCCGTAAGGTGGTTTCGGAACCGAATGTTGACAGCTTGCATCGACGTTAGCGAATATTACGTGATAGTCGCAAAAGCATGAAATCAGCTGACTTCCGCGCGAGCGCCTTTTCTGGTAACCATTCAAAAAGAAGAAAGCGATGTCGCGACTACCGAAAAGCGCGCCAGTATGATTTATTGCCGACAAAAAGCGTACGTGTATGGCGTAGCGCCGCTGTAGGCCTACTGCACGCTTTAGCAGTAGCAGTAGGTAGCAGTCAGCCTGGGAGCAGCAGTGCAGTAGGTAGCAGTAAGCCGGCGCCTCAGTGCTACCTGAGTGCACTGAGGCGCCGATCGCTGCCGCCTTGATCGTTGTGCGGGACTGTGTTCAGCGTGCACCACTTTGCAGAAACGAAAGCAGCTCACTGTTGCGGATTTGAAAGTTGTGGATCGCGGGAACCGAGACAACAAGCACAGCACATTGTTGGAACTGTGGGTGGACGAGGGATCTCATCCGCTGCTATCGGTTGTTGAGGTGTTGGAACTTCGTCGTTACCTGCATCGAATGACTCGAGAGGAAGACGCCGAGCATGAAGAGATTGATGAAGAAAAGTGTACATAGGTTTATTCTACATATTTACCAGCGAGCATTTCTCGCCACACGACAAAAATCTAGACGAAGATGTCGTCCCAAATCGTGGCGATCTCGTCGAAGGTTCCCTCCGGAGCACACCGCGGCTGGTTGTCGAGTCTTTCTCCCGCTCAGCCGTAGATACCACTGCACATACATCACTTTCGACGGTACTGCGCACACCCTCCCTGGTCAACGTTTTTGACGGGAACGTGGCCACCACACACTCTCTCCGGCGCCAAGTTGTTTCTTCGTTGGAGTGATAATGCCGCTGGGTGCTGGATCTCAGGTTCTTGCTACCACCGCACTACCGGAAGCATCAAAGGACCCCCGCTCGCCACGCTCAATTTGCTGAGCGGAAGGTAATCCATGCTGTCGCCGCCATCTCTTCAGGGAGGCTGTCTCAACCGAAACCATTTTGGTCGTCTCGTTGTAGATTTTGCGGCGTGGCGTCGCAAATGTATGCCCCTCGCTCCCCGGTTGGGAGGACAATATTCATATTTGGGCGGCTGCCAGTAAGCCCACTTTCTTTCGGCAACTTGTTCGTAGAACCGCGAACACCCCTCTCTGCTTGGATCAAGCGCTGATCCTAACAGCTCGTCCGCCGGCGGGAGACCCGACCTGAGGGTGGCCAGTTGCCCAGGTCGCCCGAAGCGTCGGTGTTTGGTGAAGTCCCCCAGGTCACTAATGATGACGCCCAAGCAAATCATTCCCGCGTGCGGCTCGTGGCATTTTCCCTCTGTGCAAGCGCCAGGAATCATCTGCGAATCCACCAGGCCTCATACTCATAGAAGGGAGCATCGGAGTTTACAGTGGCTGTAGCCTTGCCACTTGAAGAACCGCACACAAAGGGATGCAGCAGAAAGAAAGATACCGGCGCCACAACGCCACA